GTTTTCTTTACCTGCTTCAACTCATAACGCAGTTCCTCCAGGGAGAAGCAGCACCATGAGAAGGGGGAATTGGTAAGTGTTTGTTGATTGGATTTTCGTGATGAGCAGAGAGCAGGAGGGACTGAGAGATGTCAGAGGCCCAAGGAGTCGGGCTCTGGGGAGGTCAAGGGGAAATTAAGGACCCTGCTATCCAGATCTGCACCCCCACCGGCCCAATGGCTGAGAAAATGGGTTAATATTGCATTGGGGGGTGGGTAGGGCTGAGGAGTAGAATTTCAGCAGCCGGAGACTGGCAGGGGGCATCAGAACTCAGGTTTGCCAGAAAACCTTTGGCTGAAGCAGAGGCGCAGACCATTGTTGGGGGCCTCCTGTCTGCACATGGGCTGCTGGTCAGGTCCTCCGTGGTTGGATCCTTAAGGGAAGGGCTGGACGCGGGTTGCTGGGGTTTCTTTATGTGGAGAGGCAGACCTGCTTGGGAAGAACGCCTGAGTCCTGGTGTTGTAGCAAAGGGCCCTGTGATCCAACTTGAGTGGCTAGGCTGGGAGAAGCTGGCTGGGATCGGCTAACAGCTACGCTGGCCTTAAGCAACAGACTACACGTCGGCTTGGGGGCGGTTTGGCTTTGGGCACTAGTTTCATACACACATGCAGGGCCACTGAGGGGTGCTGGCAGGACGCAGCTTCATGGCTTTCTATCTGGGTGGCCTCATCTGAGTGCCCCACCGGAGACTGGATTTGAGGGGCTGGGTTAATCCTGGGCAACCGTGAGGGGCCCTGTCTTGGGGGTAGACAGGCAAACCAGATGAAAGCCCCCCACAAATCAAATGGAGGCGCTTGGTGACAGACAGACTATTTTAAGTGACTTCACCTCTGACCCCCCGACAGGGAGCCTCCAATCTGGCAGTTCAAAAGCCCAAACAAAGGACAGACCAGCTTTTTTGGAGCCCAAAGTGACATCTCAGGCCCTCGGCTTTTTAACACAGTCAAATCCCAGGGGCGCGGAGGCCACAGCCGTGGACAGCATCACTTTACCTGAAAGTACAAAGCACCTTTTCATCGCTTTCTTCATCAATAACCTTCCAATTGGAGTCGACATATGCAGGCTTCAAAGGACAAGCAAAGAGCTGGGCTCTGAGTGTCATTCTGCTTCCCGTGGAAAACTCTGACCCGTGGTCGCGGGGTCCGGCGCAGACAGCAAAGGCGCCATTCATTAGCCCCCTCCAAGCGCTCGCAGCTCCGCCAGCCACCACCCCGGCCTCGCTCTTCTGAACCCTCCGGGTCCTGCTTTCCGTTGTCCCTGCTCATTCCTAACAAGCAGCTATTTGCGTCCTGCAGAGGCCTGTCTGTCCACCGTCGCCAGGGGGACCGGAGTCTGGCCTCGGCTGCCCGGCCAATGGCTCAGGGCATCTTCCGGGTCTGAAACGATCCACAAAAGTGCTAACCCCGTACTGGTTAGTATTGCCTTTTCAAGGGTAAAGAGACTGATGCCCAGAGAGGGTCTGTGGCTTGTCGATGGCACCCTGGAGAGGCCATCTCAGCCCGGCCTGGCTGCCCACCGATTCCCTCACACGACGCCTGTTGTCCCCTGCCAGAGTGGCCAGGGCCCACCAAGTCCCTGGGCCTGAGTCTCATCCACATGGCCCTCAGGAAGATGAGCAGGAGGGACGTGGAGACAAGGACGTTTCTTAGGCGTGAAGACTTCCCTTCTGGGCTCCGTCTAGCTTTCAGATTTCTCAGCCGCGTTGCGATCCTGGCCCAGCAGCCCCGCGCCGCAGCTTCCTCACCTGCAGGACAGGCCCTCACCGCACGCGCCTGGGCACGAATGCGTTTTAAAGTCAGAATCTCCTGATTTGGGAAAGGTCCTAAGGTTTAGGACCCAGATGCCCCCAGGGTGCCTGCTGCAACGCCCCGGGCCCACCTGTCTACCACCTTCCTATCCCTGCAGGGAAGCAAATGAGTATCCTCCTGGGCGGGATCCATCCAGGCTGGAAGTGAGGACTGCGAGACTGATGAGACCACACGGATTCGCTCGTTCCGATCAGCATTTTCTACCTAAAGATTCACCGAAGAAATCTTCCCTCCTCGGCGTGCTGGGACTTGCGCTCGGTGGGGTCTGATGTTGCTGGTGTCCTGGGAGGCCCAGGGAGGGAGGACAGGGAGGGGCAGGAAAAAGCTGGGGACTCGGCGAGGGGCCCAGCGCACTTGGCTAATCCTTCTTCTTCATTCCAGTAAAGGAAAAACACAGGCTGCCACAGGGCGGTTATGTCTATGTGAGAAATGACGAAGTTTACAGCTTCGGGGGATTGAAAGCTCTTGGTGCTAATTCTTCAGAAGAATTTCAGGCAGACTCAGGAGCCAGAAGACAGAATTCAGGAAAATGTTATTGTATCCCAGTCACGGGGGAGACCGGAGGGGTCTGCTGCGCCGTGTGGGTCAGCTCCCTGGCCGGGGATCGGACTCAGGCTGCCCTGGCCGGAGATAGCTTGACAGCGCTGAGACTAACCCCTGTGCCACCAGAGAGGCCCCCCTGGAGAATTTTTGGACAATGGCCCTTGAGACCAGACCTGCCCGCTCTGGATACAGAGGAGTTTCCTCTGCTCGGACGTTGCAAGGTGCTGTCCTGGGAGTGGGGTTGATGAGACTGGGCCACAGGAACCCCTCTCCCCGGCAGGGACACACCCCTCAAACAAGCACAGAGCGTGTCGAATCTGCAGAGCGTGCAGAAGCAAGTGCTTTGCACAGCACGTCCCAGGATAACAGGACTGGAATAAAGATGATAAATGGAAACACCACGCAGGCCCCTCACACGGGCTTGTGGCTGCTGGTCTATTGGAGCAAATCATTACTGGAAAGTCCTGATGAGCAAATTAAAAAAGAAAAAAGCAGCTTAGTGTGCGCATGCAATGGCTGGAAATATCTCAGCAAGCACGGTCTCATTTTCTGTGTGTAACCCGAGCCATTTTTCAACATGCCAAGTCTCCTCTTTTATGAGACAGTCGCTAAGCAAATTCGTTCACTGTCTCCTCCCTGGAAGTTGAGAGGGGGGCCTCGTTGGGGTCTCTCTGGCGCAGGCATCGCACCTGGCACCCTGGGATGCTTCAAAGATGCTGAATAAGAGTGATTCTGAAATGGGTTGTCTTGTCGCCTGCAGAGAGCTGGCTGCTTCTGCGCCAACCCGATACAGGTGTGGACTATATAGATGAGGAACCCAAGGTATTTCATTGGGACCCACACTTTGCTTGGGGTGGGTCTTCTGGAGGCTGACAAGTGGTGCAGGAGGTTGTCCCTGCCCGCTCAGAGGGCAGCCCAAATCCCTGAGCTCTGCCTGGGGCATGAGGACAGGAGGGCCCAGCTCAGCCGTGATCCGGGGCTGTCACGGCGTCCCACAGGCTGTGGCCTCCTGACGGCCATGCTGGGGAGCTGTTGCAGGTGGCGCTCAGCCCGGAAGGCAAGAAGAGGCCAAGCCGTCCCTGCTCACAGAGCTGCAGCGCAAAGGGGCGAAATCACAGCCCCACAGACACGGGGAATTCTCGCCTCCTGGACTGAACCCCCAGCAGCAGGCCCAGTAGCCTCAGCCCAAGGCCAGTGGGGGCCAGAGTGTTGCCATCTGCTCAGGTGGTGCAGGTGGAGCTGGCTCCCCCACCCATGCCTGCAGGTGCCGCGCCCACCCCTTTGGGTCTCTTCCCTGGGGGAGAGGGGCTGTATTTCCATGGTTCTCTGATGTCGGCATGAGACTGTTTACTGAGCACCTGCACCTGCGTGCCCCACCGAGCAGCGTCAGTCCACGGCAGTGACCCTGGGGGATGCTCCCCTTCTTTGTTTTTTTTTTTTTAAAGATCCACTTATTTATTTACACAAGCACTGGGTACAGTCAGAAGCGCGGGAGGGTGAGAGAATTCACCAGAGCCAGAGCGGGGAGCAGAGCAGGCAGAAGGACCGAAGGACACTGCTGAGGGGAGCAGCGGGCGGCAGGAGAGGTCTGCGCGCCATGTGGGACCCTCCTTGGGTGGCCAGGGAGCAGCCAGGGATCGAACCGGCGCTGCAGAGGCTGCGGGCAGCTTCGCAACCCAGCGCTCAACTGCCGCGCCACCGGGGAGGCCCGGGGATGCTCCCCTTCTGCCCCCCACACCTGCTTTCTGGCTCCGTGGGTCTTGACTAGCGCCCAAGAATTTGCATCGCTAACGAGCCCTGGGGCCCCAAGGTGCCAGCCAGGAGCACTGTCTGAGAACCCAGTGCCTAAAAAGCACCCCCAGCCCAGGGCCACACCCCACTCCCCCCAGAGAGCCTCCAACTCAGCACCAGCCTCTCCAGGGGTCCCTCAATTTCAACTTCTTCCAAAACAGGTTAGAGGGCGCTCGTTCTTCGTTAGCCACTGGCAGAAATAGTCGATTTCTGGCCTTAGTGAGGCAGACAGTGAGCCTCTAAAAATGAGCACAAAGAAAGGCTGCCCCTCCCGGGAAACAGTGTTCTGGGCGGCCTCTAAAAATGCGCCTTGGCCGTGACTCCTGCGCTGGAGGCAGGTGGGAGGTGGAGAGTTGGGGGGAAGCCTGGCCACCCAGGGAGGCAGCGTCCCCCCTTGGAAAGACAGTGGGACGTGACGTTAACAACCCAGCAATGGGCAGACCACCGCCTCCTTCCGGACCCCCAAGCGCACGCTGCAGCCCCTGAAGCCCTGCCCCCAAGAGCCTGCACGCGGGGCCTGCTCCTTGCCTTTCCTTTTTTCTCTGCCCCACCAGGCTGGGGGTTCCAGGAGCGCAGTTCTGGGGGGCCGGGTGCAGGATCACGCCTCTCTTGTGGACCCCACCCTGTGGGTCAGAGCCTACATCCGCCCCGCCCGCTGGGCCCTGGCCCTGGGAACAGCGTTCACAGGTGTGAGCCCGCAGCGCTTCCCCGGGAGCAGCAAATAGAGAAGTGAAACCGAGCGAGCCACCCCCACGGGGGCGTGGAGAGCCCGAAGGCCTGGGACCGGCCCGGGAGGCGAGTCGTCTGCCGGGCCTGGCCATGGGGGCCCTCGCGGCCGCCCTCCTGCTCTGCGCACTGGCCTCTCTGGGCCGCGTGTGCGGGGCGGCCTGGCCCACGCACACGGCCTGCAGGAGCGGGGACCTGGAGATGCGCTACCAGAGCTGCGGTAAGGCCGGAGCGGGGCCGGAGCTCGCGTGGGGAAGGGGGCGCCCCGTGGCCTCCTGTCCCTGCACAGCCAGCCGCGGGGGCCACCGGGCACCCTGGGAATGGCGGGCGGCCTGGGGGGGCGGGGGGCGCGGCGACAGAGCAGACAGGAACAAGGCACTGAGGGCCTCACCCTCACAACTCACCACCACGTGGGGTGGCCTGTGGGCCAAAAAGCAGCAGAGGCCCCAGTACCCCACTCCACTGCACCCCTGGGCTCCCCCAGGCCAGCTAGTTTGCAAGTTGAGTGGCAAGGTGCACCCCCAGAAATAGAGGCTGAGGCCGCCAGAGCATGAGCTGCCCGAGTCGGGGTCTGGCCAGGCCCTCGTTTCCGCCGGCAGGCCCAGCCAGGGCGCCCCTCCTGGCTCTGGGCTGGAGTCCAGGGAGCAGGTGTGGGCGGGATGCTGGCCCCAGGCCGCTGTCCTGGGCTCGCAGACGCCACCGAGCCCTGTGTGCCTGCGCGGCCACCCTCTGTGTCTGCATCCCCGTCTTCTCTTCCTGCTGCGCCCCCGGGGGAGCGGCTGCCAGGGCTGCCCCGCTGACCGCTGCGAAGAGCTCGTGTCCAAATGCAGCCCGATTCCAGGGTCACGAGGGGAGGACTTTGACAAGGCACGGGGGACACTGCAGCTGATTGGGGGCCTGAGCGGGGAGATGTGAGCCCACTGGACGTCGCACAGATGAGGAGCGAGGGCCTGAGACGACCCAGTGCTTGGGGGCGGCAGCTCCTGGGCAGACGGACGAAGAGCTGTTTGGACGGAGGCGGGGGGTTCCCCTAAGCGGCAGGCTGGCCGCTCTTTGGGGGGCTGGCATCAGCAGGCTGCCTCGGGGGCCCTGGAGGTCAGGTCGGCCTCCGGGACATGGTCTACTTGATGCGGCTGTGTCCCCAGAAGGTAGCACGGAGCATCACAATGCGGCTGGACGGTGTCCGACTGACCGCACACAGGGCTGGCGCTGGACGTCAGGGTGTTGGGGGGCTGGCGCAGGCCCTTCCCTGGAGCAAGGCTCAGGGGACAGGTGGCCGGCTTGAGGTCGGCCTTAAAGACGGATAAAATTAGTGTTGGTGGCAGGGCCCGCTGGGGGAGGCGTGTGTGGGCCGGGCACCCTGCCAGGTGCCCGTGGTTTATTTCTGGCTCACAGACGTCTGACCTGAGAGCTGGCGATGACGGTGACTCCTCGGAGGCCACAGGCCCCGGTGGCAGAGGAGGTGCCCACTGGCACCCGTGGGGTCAGTGGATCGATCGGCAGGGCCCGAGCCCCAAACCTGCTGTCCTGACTCGCAGGGGTGAGGGGAGCAGAGGCAGCGTGCAGGGGCTGAGGGGACCGGGCAGGGGTCAGGGAGCTGCCTGCACAGGGGACAGAGGGGGAGGACAGTGGCGTGGCGGGGACGCGTGCGTGAGGGCCCCGGGGGGCTGGGCAGTGTAGACTGGGACCCAAGTCTGCAAACCCAGTAGTGCTGTGTCCTGGCTCCCCAGTGGATGGCCTGGCTCCCCAGTGGATGGTCCCCTGCAGCTGTGGGCCTTGCGAGGGGCACCCCAAGCCCTCCACGTTGAGAACACACATGAAGGTGACCTGCGTGACGAGGTCGTCCAGCCCAGCAGCTCCTAGAACCCCAACGTGCAGAGGCCAGGCACGAGCAGGGAGCCCGTTCCCTTCCCCGCAGGGCCTGCCTTCCTCTTCTCTCTCTGCTTGGTCTGGTCTGTGGTGGGAGGGCAGGGCGGGCCTCAGCCTGGAGCTGGTCTGCACACTAACGTCCTTGAGCATGCTGGACTCTGAACCCTGGAAGGGAAGTGAGCAGTTTCCTGAAAAAAACAGAAGCCGGGCTGCCTGGTGTTGGGCCACGGAGGAGGAGGAACAAGACAGTCCAGGCCGGGGAGAGCCAGGGCCCCGGGGTCAGGCCACAGCCTCCTCCATCTTGGCCGCTATTCATACACCACCTTTGTCTTGCCGAGATGTGAGGGGAGGATGGGCGTGCAGGGCTGGGGGACCAGCCTCCCTGTGGGGAAGCTGCGAGGGGCGGGATGGGAATAATTACCCAGGAGCAGGGACGCGAGGAGACCAGGCAGGTGGGGCAAGCCCTGGGAGGTGGAGGTTGTGACCGTGGAGTGGGAGCAGGGCCCCCTGTAGCCGCCGTCCCCTGGGACCTGTGACAACACCCATTTTGCAGCAGCGTTTACAAGATCTGGGGCAGGGAAGCAGCCGAAATGCCCAGCGTGGAGGCCTGGGTCAAGGAAAGGGGTGGGATGGTGGTGTCTGTCCTCCTGGTGAATACTACACAGCAATGAAAAAGGTGAATGGCACTATTTATAGCCGTGTAGTATTCCATCACACGCATGTATGTAACTATATATACTATGTCTTCTTTACCTAGTAATCAATCAATGGACACTTATTTTTAATCCTCTAATTGGGGAGGAAATACCAGGATTGTGTTGTTTGGAAAGCAAATATAGGAGTCCTTTCCTCGGTCCTTCCCTGGTTAGGTTTCCTTGGCTCCTGGGTTAGATTATTTTGCTGCCAGAGTGACCCAGCCAAAGCCAGTGGTTGTTCTGCCCTCCATCATCGACCCGTCAGGTCTTGTCATGTTAGATTATTCATGACCCAGGTGGTCTCTGTGACACAAACCACCAAGTGCAGTTCCCACAGAAACATCTCTCTCCTTGCACCAGCGGGAGCCATGCTCGAGTGGGGCACCCTGCAGACCAGGCTCTGCCTCACCAGCAGAGGACAGGGGAGGGCTAGTGCACCCTGAGCCCCTGGGTGACAGGACCGAGTGGGGAGTGGTGGCTGGTGAGGACGGGATCAGAGGGTCAGAGGAGCCTTTATTGTTTCCTCTGAAAAAATCTCAAGCTTCGTGTTCACCTCAAATACAAATGTGAAGTAACTGCTGGGAAGGACCCCAACACCCTGGGCACTTTTGAAGCCATGGCGCTCCTGTTTTTAGGGAGACAACTCCAGGGAGAAGCAACCTGCTGCTTCCTCCGAGTCTTTGCTGGTTATTAAGCTCGTGTTTCCAACAGCCCTGTTTTTCTGGACCAAGGAGTTGTTTTACATCCTTCCCCTACTCCACCTTGGAAGTACCCGCCAACTAGAGTGCCGTGCTGCCAGGTACTGAGTGACACAGATGTGGTGTCTTCGCTCTTACCTTGGGTAGCAGCTTCAACTTCTCCACACTCCTGAGGACGCAGTCCGCACGCATGTGTGGCAGTTGGCTTCTCTCTCTCAGCAGTGAAAGCCAAATATGCAACAAGAACTCTCCCATTTTCCAAGCTGGAAGAGGCCAGGCCCAGCGCAGGGGTGCTCGGGAAGAAGTAACACCAGCAACAAGAACATGACTGCTCGCCCCCCGGGGGAGGAAGTGCCCGATGGACGGGACTCGATGAGGAGAAAGTGCACCTGGGTTAGACTTGCTGAACAGGCTGCTGATGGCTTCCGAGGCAGAGACCCAGGCAGTTGCTGTCCTCCAGGTCAGAGAGGTGGTGACCAGTCGCGCTTGCCTGCGGTGTCTGGCCTGGAAGGGTGCAGCCTGTGGGAGCTTGCTGGGGGCTGATGTTGCCCTGAGCTCAAGTCACGGAGCGTGCGTGGGCTGTGACGTGGGGCCCAAAGAACATTCCTTGACTTGATGCTCAGACGTGGATGAGTCTCTGGAGTTCTCACATGAGCAGAAGTTACACCTGACAAATACCATCTTTGCGGCCCCCGCGGCACCTGACATTGTGCCTTGCTGCTGGTGGCGGATCGTTAGGGGAAAATGATGGTGTTGAACGGGATGGAATCACAAAGTTCTTAACTTTACCGCTTGGCATCTATTTTCCTCCTTTGTAATGATAGTAATTAATGCTTTGTGAAATGTCTTGGTGGAATCAACGAGAAGTTGTGAAGTCGACAGCTCGAGAGCTCAAAGGATTCAGCCGGTAAGAACAGTGTCAACAGCGAGAATGTGGGCCAACTTCAGAGCGACCAGGACGGACAGTTAAAAGCCAAGACGGTGTTGGACCATGTTTCTGAATCAATTTAGTGGGAAACGTAGAGGAAATATGTCACCGTCTGAGTTCCGACTGTCGTTGGCAGAGCACGCCCAGGCTCACGCCCAGTCTGTTTTTCTCCTGGCAGATCCATTACAAGATTTCGGCTTTTCTATTGACCAGTGCTCCAGACAATTGAAATCCAATCTCAACATTAGATTCGGAATCATTCTGAGTAAGTTCAATTTAATGACGTGAAATGAAACAGCGCCCCGCCTCCCCCCGGCCCACACACCCCATTACTTAGCTCAGCCGCGGTGGCTGTGCACACCCCCACGCCCACCCCCTCCGCTCTATTTCCATCTGCATCTTCCTTCTCTGGGTAATATCCAGATAGAGTAAAACTCGCCTTTAATGCTGTGCTTTTGCACTGAATGGGCTCCAGACGCTCATTTGGATGATATAAGCACCTGGAATCAGTAAATCCAGCAGAAAAAAGAAAATATTTTGAGTCTAAGTATTGACGCCTGCTCAGGAGGGAGCTTTTGCTTAGTTATCTCTGCAACAAACTTGTCTATTCCCAGCAGCTTGCGTTGTCATCCGCGTTATTTCATTTCCCCAACAGCTAATATAAGTTCTTAAACCTTGACAAAGGCAGAGACTTGCAGCATCTCCTCCCTCCACCCCAATCCGTGCGCTGGAATGCTTTCAGACTGCTCATTTTTCTCTGCTCACACCTTTACAGTTACTCATTATATTGCGGTAGCTGCTGGAGTCTCTTTCTTCTAAAACAGTTTGACAAAACCAGAGCAGAGGATTTAATAAACTTAGCATGTGGATTCGTTCCAGGGAGATGGGGGAACATTCCCAGAGGCTAAGAACACTCACGCCGCTCAGTGTCTCCACAACCTCACACTGTATCTGGATCCTGTGGCAGCAGCCCTGTGAGTGCTTTGGAGAAAGGGAGAGAGAAACAGGCAGGGGACCAGAGGGAGCAAGATCTAAGTGGGAGGGAAAGCGGTGAAGGGAATTGGAAGCCAGCACTGCTGAGCAGCCTGCAGCTTCCTGGGTAACTGGTGCCACTGGCCTGGCCCCAGCGTGGAGGGGGTGCAGACTGGAGCACACCCACTCTCCCGGGAGGCACGTAGTGTGTGGACCTGGGGAGCTGCAGAGGTCAAACATGCAGCCTAAGAGAAGGGGCCAGGGCAGGGGTGCAGCTGCATGAGCCCCTGCAAATATGGGTAGTGGAAGAGCCACGTTTCAGACACCGGGCTGCCACGTCATCCCACCGCACAGCCAAAGGGCTCTCCTGCAAGAGCGGAGGCTGCTCTCTGCACAGAGGTCACTTCTGGCATCAAGGCCACTGGGCTGACACCACTGTAAAGCTGAGACGCTCTGGTCACCAGCGGGGCTCCTGCCCGGTGTGCATAGAGGCTGAGAGCGTGACACCAGGTTTTGAGAAAGGAAGAAGCTTTATTACAAGTCCACTGGCAGAGAGGCGGGGGAAACTCAACTCCGCCTCCCCACCTGGGAAAGGGAGGGAGGTTCTAGAGCTTTTGCGCCCCAAGGTTGAGAACAAGGAGTTACATTTTATTTAAGGAATGAGCGAAGTCAAAGAAACGTGGGCGTGGCTGAACGCATCCTTAGTCACAGGGCCGCCCCTCCGCGAGAAGTATGGGAAGGATTTTCTTCCGACAGCTGCATTTGGAGTTTCCGCTAGTAGCCCCTCTGGGCAGGCCCCTCCTCGCGGTGGTCTTCCCGGCGGTCGCCCGGCTCGGCGCAGGATTAATGGCCTGTGCTTCCTCAGGGTGGTCGTCTGCCGATGACGGCCTCTGTGCAGACAAGCCCGAGGAGGAAACTAGATAAAGTTCTTCTCCTCTGCGCTCCGGGGTCTGCGAGCAGCGGCCCCCAGACGCGCCTCCAGGCCCGCCCGGCAACGCAGCTCTCCTCCCGCAGGAGAGGACATCAGGGAGCTGTTCCTGGAGCTGGGTCTCCTCTCGAAGGGCGAGTCCATTATGCACATCTCCTACCCCATCTGTGAAGAGGACCTGCCCAAGTTCTCCTTCTGTGGGCGAAAGAAAGGGGGTAAGTGGTCTGTCCCGTTCGCGGCCCGCCAGCCCCGGGAGGGTGACCACAGCCTGCGGCCGGGTCCTGGCGCCCGGTCAGCCCGGGGCCCCCGGGGCGGACAGGCTGATCTCTCTCCTCAGCGCCCGTGACGGGAAATGACTAAGGCTCGCCCCGTGGGCCCTGCCCGCCAGCCAGGTGTGAAAATCAAATGAAACGCTGTCTTGTCGGCGGGGCCGCCGGCACGACAGGGATAGATGTAGCTAAACGGGACAGAGCAGTGATAGTTACAGTTTGTTGACATAAAATGTCCTTATGCCCACTTAATTATAAATTATTATTTATAATCATTGAAATCGATAAAATATTATTATTAACATATTGGTATATTAATTTACCTCAGCCATGACTACTCAGGAGCACACAATCACACACGGGACACTGCGTTAGAATCGCCCTTTAAACATTTGGAAGCCCCAACACTCCATACCCCAGATCCTGACCCCAGAATCTCCGGGGGTAGAGCCCCCCCAGCCAGGGCACCCCCAGGCTGGCAAGGTCGAGTCGAGGGACGAACGTCAGGGTCAGCCCCATGCCCCATGATTGCAGCCCTTGGGGTGAGTCTGGAGTGAGCCTTCCCAGGACCCCACATGTGGGGACCCACTTAGCCCGTTTATTGGCCTTGACACCACAGGAACTGCCGCACTCGCTGCGCGGTAACAGCTGAGGAGGCTGGGCCCAGGGACTCGCTCTAGCCCTCCATCATGTAAACAAGATGTCGGGACTCCCCAGGGGAGCAGCCACGAAGCCCCCAGCAGCTGAGGCCCCAGCCCTGTACACACAGTCCTGCTGTCGGTGTCCATGATCCGTGCAACACGTGTAACACGTGGCCGGCTCCACCCAGGCCTCACTTCCAGCTCAAGGTCCCACTCTCCACCCGGCTGCAGCCAAATCGCCCGAGGGAGGCGGGGTATCCCCACCCGGCCGGCCCCAGACACAGCTCCCAGGCTGTCAGACACGGTCATGCTCTCCTTGTGGTCACCCTTAATTCCTTGCACTCCAAGGAATTAAGTGGAGCAGTGGGGACTGCTCCTGTCCCTACTGTACCCCCAAAAGGAACAGAGCCAGAGAGATGTAAATGGAGGTTACAGGCTCTAGGTACTCATCTTGGGACTTCGCCCTTTGCCATCTGTGGGGTCCGCCATCCCCCGGCCCCTCTGGACCCCGCACGAGTCACCATCCAGGAAGCCTCATCTCGTCATCAGTGGGAGACAGTGTCCTTGACAGGGCCTGAGCAGAGTCTGGGCCATGGGGCCTGGCGACCCCAGGTACCCAGAAACTAACATCTCGATGCCTTCTGTGTCTTCCAGAGCAGATTTACTTCTCCGGCCCTGTGAACAACCCTTCGTTTGAAATCCCCAAGGTAAGGGGTTGCTTCTCTGGCCTGCTGCGTTACTGGGTTGCAGAGCTGAGCTGTTTCCTGAGGAAGGAGGGAGGAAGAGGAGGGTTAACCTGTCTCGGGGCTTCCCGAAGGTGTCACCAAGAAACCCCTTCCCCAGAGGGGCCGCCCGGCGGGCACTGCGCAGCTGCCGCTGCTTCTGCATGGGGGGGTGTTGACGCCTGCTGTCCAGCTGGGCCTCAGGGGCCTGTGCAGGGAGGCCTCCCCGGGAGAGAGGGGGTTCTGTCCAGTCTGCAGGGACCCCGGGCTGAGAAGCAAGCTGCTTGATTCTGCCTCACACCCCCCCTTGCCAGCTCACCAGCCCCTCCCAATACCCAGAACCTTCTCCTCCTCTGAACTGCGGACTCGGGAGTCCTTCCCACCAAGGCTGCTGGGGCAGAGTCTCCGAATCTATCGGGCTCCGTGCCCTTGCTGGCCCCGACCCAGCCCCGCCCCCCAGCTCCCGCCCTGGGCCTGGGCGCCCATCCTGGCCCCTGCGTCTCTCTCCCACGGGGCAGCTGGAAGGGTCAGCAGAGCAGGCCACTCCCTCTCACGTTCTTCCCCCTGCAGCCACCCACCCAGGCCCACCCCCCTAGGCTCCCTCTAGGCTCAGCCCAGGGCAGAAGGCAGCTCCCCAAATCCTCCTTCAGTGAGGCCACCTCCCAGCCCATGGGCCACCTGCCATTCTGCTTCAAGCCCCACCTCAATGCCAGCCCCACCCCACCCTCCCCGTCTGGGCCTTGGGCTCCGGCAGCCACCAGTCACCATCCCTCCCGGGGCCGCAAGCACCTCCGGGCAGCCGGTCCCCCTGTGCCCCACGCCCTAGCCCCTGCCCCTCGTAGCCGACCATCCCTTGGTCACATGTGTGTCCCTTCCAGGGCGAGTACCAGGTGCTGCTGCAGCTGCGGAACCAGGCCTGGGCCCTGGTGGCCTGCGCCAACGCCACGGTGGTCGGCCTCTGAGCGGACCCCGCCTGCCCTGTGGAGATGCCTGGCCCCAGCCAGAGCAGCGCTGACCACAGGGGCTCCCCTGCGGCCCCCCTGGGGCCGCGGCTCCCACCCTCTGCAGGGGTCATGGACCCAAGAAGCACGGTTCCTGGGGCCCCGGTGGCCAGGGGACAGGGGCGAGGCTGCAGCCTCCTCGAGGGGGGGCCCCGCTCTGGACTTTCCTGCCATCCCCTCGCCGAGCCACCGAGGTGCCAGCCCCCTCCCCGCAAGGAGACCTGAGAACCAGGCAAAGGGCCAGGAGAGAAAATGCTTGTCTTTCTGAATTAAACAGTTCTCTGTAAAAAAATAAAAAATAAAAATACGCGTGGATATGTGAGGAACTGAGCGTGCGTCGGGAGGGAGCGCTCACACCTGCCTTCAGGGAACCGGCCCAAGAGCCGCCTCTCATTCCAGGAATGTGTCCTCCACCTGTGAAGAGGCTTCCCGGGGACTTGGCTGCAGGCATTTCCTCCCCTGGGTGTTCCCTGGAGCTGGGGGATGGACAGGGAGAAGCGGCCATCGCTGCGAAGCGGGGGCGCCCAGGGGCTTAGGGCTGTGCACAGCGGGGGGGCTTGCACGCAGGGAGCTGGTGCCCAGAGTGCCGGGTGCTGGTTGAGGCGAGTCTGGAAGGTTCTGAGACATGCAGGTGCGCCCACGCCAGCAGCAGGTGCACTCACGGCAGCCCCAGGCCGACCACAGAGATTCAGTGTTGCTGGTAAGAGGACGCGCCCCCCAAAGCCACAGAAGGGGAGCCCCCTCACCGCCCCCAGCTGCCCTGTCTCCCCTTCATGCCCAGGGCGGCCTGGGGCTGCCCTCTGCCCCAGAACAGGCTGGAGGCTCCCGCAGGGCTCCGTCCTCTCTCGCAAGCACCAAACCCACAGCCCTCGAGCCCGCGTCTTAGGCCGTCCTTTCCGCTCCAGGCCGCATTTGGCACTGACTCTCCAAAATGGTGGGTGGATGCCCCGTCGCTGGCTCAGAGGCGGCTTTGGAGAGAAGGCAGGAGGCCTGGGGCTCAGCTCAGGCCCAGCTCAGCTGCTCTGGACAGAAGGGGCCCGAGCAGAGGCCGGGATGGCCACTGGCGAGCCCTGCCTCCCTGCCCCAGGGAGCACCCCCGTGAGGGCCCATGGCTCTGCGTCTGCAGCGTCGCCGCTGCCCAGGTGACGTCTCCAAGCAGACACCCAAGCGCCATCATTTCACATCCCTCCCACAGCACAGGACGTGCAGAGGGCGCAGGCAGCGGTCAGCTGTCCACACCGCCCGGGAGCCCTGCCTGCAGTTTGCAAGCTCGGCCAGCAGGTGGCACCAGTGACCAAGGAGCCGACACCGCCTCTCCCGACCCGCACCCCCGGGTCCCAGAAGCTGGTTCCTGGACCTAATCAGATGCTTACGGAAGCGGTTTCCTCCTGACAAACACCAGGCCAAACAGAAACCAGCCTCATCCTGCAGATAACGAGTGTTTGTGCCTTGCGAGTGTCCCGTCTCCCTGGCCACAGGCAGCCCTTCTTCGAGTATTTCAAGGCGGTCGGTCGCCCCTCCCTCCCCGCCCCGCCGCGGGCCCTCCTCGGGCCCTCTCCGGGAGAGGGGCAGCTGTGGGGAGAGGAGAGCCAAGCCAAACTGCAGCCGGCCCCAGCGCAGGGAAGACAGGCAGGCTGGAGGTTGTGCAGGCAGGGCAGGAAGCTGAATAGCTGCTGTCTGGGCCGACTCTGCCCCCACGTCCTGAGTCACCCAGCCCAGCGCCTTCCACCGGCAGCACCTGGCGCCCCCGTGCAAACACAGGTCTGACTGTCCTTCCGGAGGAGGCAGCACAGGCGGCGGGGATGGGGCAGCAGCGGGGAGGTGTTGCTGCCTGGACAACCTCGTCTCAGGTCGCGATCAGGACCAGGGTCTCTGTGCACACACATGAGGACTCTCCCTCACTCACACGTCCTGGAGCTGCGTGGCCCCTGGGGGTCTCTGGCCCCTGCGCACACCGTGGGTCACTGAAGCGGCATCAACAGCAGCCCCAGTCACCTGACCTGGACAGGCCTCTGTCCTCTACTCTGGAGCCCAGGGGCAGCCATGTGAGAGGCTGTTTCCTTGCGTGCCCCCCTCTCCTCCATGTCCCCCTCAAAGCCCAACCCCCCCATGTGGGGCTCACAGATGCCCTGGGGGTGCCACTGGGGCCGGCCACAGGCCTCCACCAGGGTGGGGGTCCGGGACCACCCCCAGCTTTCAGACACTGGAGGGGGAGGTTCCTGTCTTTACTGAAAAGAGAAAGGAAAGGGAGAGAGAGTAATTTTTCCAGTAAAAGTTAAAAAAAATAGAAAACGAGGGAAGAAGAAAACCCAGCCGGAGAGAGAGTGCTGAGCAAGGGCGGCTCTTGGGAGGCTCCGGGGAGCACGAGCCTCTGGGGTAACACAGACGGGGCCCCTCCAGGGGGCAGGACCCAAGGTAACGCTCAGTTAAAAATTAACACAGAAGAGGCCAGAAGAGCGTTTTCAGGGCTTGCTGCGTTGACCTTGATGCTGCTTCTCAGGGACTGGGGGTTTCGGCTTAGAACTGAGGGGCCGGGTGTTTGTCTCGGCAGCTGGCGGAGCTTGAGTACCGAGACCCCCTGGCCAGTGCCCAGGAGAGAATGGGCCTGGTGCGGCAGCAGGCCCTGCCCGGGAAAGCGGCAGCCCCCGCGCCACACAAAGTCCCCTCCCTTTCTCTCCTCCCCTCCCCGGTCCTCCCAGCCCCCCGGCCCAGTTTTGCAGAAAGACTCAGCGGAGGGTGTTTAAATCCGCAGAGGCTGGACAGAGGCCAGTGGGGAAGCCGGGCCTGCCAGTGTCCAGGGACTGTGCTGCCCAGACTCGCCGTCCTCTCAAGCACAGGCAGCGGGAAGACCCTCTGCAGGCTCACACAGGGGCTCAGCCTCGCCTGGACAGGGCAGCGCGGGGAGACTGCCCTGAGCCCAGGAGGGTGGCGAGGGTCAGGCTGCCCCCTGAGGAGGAACGAGGCCAGGGCCAGAGGCTGGAGGGCTGACCGCACCAGAGAGGTCAGCGGAGATCTGCTGATCTGCTGACCAGCTCTGCTGTCTGGGGAAGCCCAGGGCCACTGGCTTCCTGAGCTGGCCAGGGGGCAGGTGAGCTGGGACTGCTGCCCTCTCCCACGCAGAACCTGGTGGGCAGCCTTGCTGGCCACACCAGGCTCCAGGAAAGCCCCCAAGAGCAGGCGGCAGCTTCAGTCCCCAGACCCATGACTGGCACTTGAACATCCGCTGGCGATGACTGTCTCCGTCTGTCCATCACATGGAGTGGTCACGGCGGAGTGGATGCCCTTCCCCTTCCCTGGCGCTCGGCTGCTATGAGCAGGCTCCAGCCTCTCCAAGGCAAACACCAGCTCCATGGAGGGGCCGAGCCGTGTCACCAGGGGCTGGGGCTGTCCAGCGGCTGCTGTGACTGTCCCTCTCCTGGCCGCCCCCGCCCGCCCCTCAGGAGTCGCTGTTCTGTCCAGGTGCACAGTGAGGATGCTGGCCGAGGCCCGCGCTGTCAGCTGGTTGGCAGGAAACCTGACTTGCCGTCTCCAGGAGGGGAGGCGAGGAGAGGCGGGAGCAGGCCCAGCCTGCACTGACAGACGAATGAGGCCGCTAACGTGAATATGTGGGTGGAATATTACTCAGCCAGGAAAAGGAAGAAGGTTCTGTCCCTCTGCGTCATGCACAGTGCTGTCAACCAACCTCCCCTCCGTCAAAACAAACTTCTCTAAAAAGGGGGGGTGCGAGGACGGCCTGACATGGGCTCTGGCATGGAGGATCCTCAGGATGTCACCCCGACACCCGAGTCCCGCCTGGTTCTGCTCCTAGAGTTCCCCGGGGAGGGAGTTTCCAGAGAGGAGAGGCGATGGCGGGGGGGGGGGGGGGGGAATGGAGGGGGAGCAGGAAGGGAGTGTGTGATGGGGCAGGGTCTCCAGTGGGGAACATGAGAGCATTCTGGAAATGATGGGGGCTGGGGGCACAGAGGGTGGAGGTGCTTCACGCCGCCAAACATTCTAGAAATAGCTAAGACGACAAACTTGATGTTTTTTTGCATTCACCTGATTAAATTCGAGTTATTTTAAAAAAATAGTGGCGGGATTAATGGCTAAGAAGCCAAACTGAACTCTGGGGTGGCTGAGGCTGGGGCTGAGGGCCGGGGCTGGCCTTGGGCCGGGAGCACGGGCTGCGGGCCTTTTCGATTCTGCACCAACTGACACGCAGTGGGGTCTGACTTGTGGCCCCGGGGAGGCGTGGGGCCTTTTCTGGTGCCCGCGGGCAGCCTGCACGTCGCGTTCAGAGAAGCGTCGCTGGGTCCGCGTCCGTCCTGACGCGCTCACTGTGCCCCGTGGCCCTCACGCGAAGGCCTGAGCCGTCCGCAGAAACAAAAGGACGAGGGCGGTGGATGTCCCCGCGTGGGCTCAGCCTCCCCATCAGCCTCAGAATCCCGGAGCTCGTGCAACGGCTTCTGTTTTTGTTTTCACCGCGCCTTCTCTTAGGGGCAAGAACAGCCGCCTCCCCCCAAATCAGATTTTTTTCAACTTTGTCCCCAAGCGGCTGAGTGTGCCGCGCCGGCCGGGCTTGGGGGGATTAGGCGCCCAGGTGCAGCGCTCCCCGCCAGCCAGCAGCTTAGCCTTAATCAGGCGCTTACCAGGCCGCAGGGCCCCCTCCCGGGCTGGCAGACGGCACCTTGGCTGGGTTCCCAGCGTGGGGAGGCCCCCGGCCCCCTTCTCCGCTCCCAGCCAAAGTCCTCTCCGCAGGCATCCCAGCCGCAGCCCCCGTGGGCGGTTCTGTCCCCTCCACCCCCTGGCAGAGGCGCCTCAGCTTCTCCCCGGGACCTCAGGCTTTTTGGAACAGTTGCCTGCCCGCCGTCCCAGGGCCTGCTCCGCTGGGAGCTGCTTCTTCCAGCCCCTGGGGGCCCCGGGGGACCCTGGCAGCCCCTGGTGGGCCCTGGCAGTCCCTGGGGGTCCTGGGACCGCAGGCCCAGGCAGGCTGTGCTCCGGGGACTGGACTTTAGAAGCCCGGCCCCTCAGGCCTCCAAACGCAAGCAGGCCACACTCCGGTCAGTCCTGACAGAAGAGAGGTGCTTCCGTGTTTCTTTCACTTTTCAGAACGTGGCAGGAGTTTCCACCAGGAGGAACAGAGTCCTTCCTCGCCGCTGAGCCGGGGGAGGTCTGTGGCCTGGGTCGGGCGAGCAGCAGCCAGCGCTCCACACACAATCAAAATAAAGATGCTTCTTGCATTTCTGCGCGGAGGGGCCGGAGAGGAAACGGCTTCCGGGCGAGACCCGCGTGCAGACAGGCTGCTGGCCCCACGCAGCCCACTTGACCGCTTCCTCCCAGGAGCAGGGGGGCAGCGGCCTGGCCCCCAACAGCTGTCCTGGGGCCTGAGGTCCCGCCCCCATCCAGAAGAGCCAGGAAGGGCGGTCCCCCCGTTCTCAGAGGCTTCTCCCCATGAAGCCACGTGCGGACACGCTGTGACGTAGCTTCCTCCCATGGCAGCAGGCGCGGCTTGGTGCCGTCCCGTGGCCAGACGGGGGCTGGAGGGACATCGAGGGCCTCTGGGCTTCCTCCCATCGCTCTGGAGAAGCGCTTCCTGGGTCCCAAGCACAGTGCTCCCCGCATCCCTCCCCCGACCTCTGCTCCTCTGTTGAGTCCCGGACTCTCCCCAGCAGGCCTGGACTGACTCCACCCTCCAGGCTCCCCAAACACTGGCTCCACAGGGCTATGGGGCTCTTTGGCTGGCGGGCTCCCCTCCCTCGGGGAGGGGTCCTCAGGGGCACCTGGAAGTGGCAGGTGCAGGAGGCACTGGCCTCTGCCCCAGCGCTGCCCCTCCCACCACGCTGGGGGCAGGGCCACCCTGGGGGGGATGGGGCAGCTGTTTCTCGCCCGGTGGTGAGGCTTGGGCATTTCTCTGCCGCCAGCACGCCAGAGCCGCCCGCAGTGGACAGCACCCATGAGGCAGCGCTAGAGGAGCAGAGGGGCCAGCTGGAGGGGCCAAGCGGTGCCCTGGGCCCAAGACCTGCAGGGGCCTCCCGTGCAGCCGGGACATGCCGTCCAGTGCCGCCAGGGGGCAGCAGGCGCCCACTTACGGCCCCAGGCCTGGTTTTCCCACCTGCAGGGTGTCTGGCTAAGCCAGGGTGCCTGTGTCAGCAGAAAAGCTGCTGGGGGTGCAGGGGAGGTGGGGAGCAAGCAGCGCCCGCCCGGCCCAGGCTGAGCAGGAGCCATGGCCCGTCGCACAAGTGGGGCTGGAGACCAGGTTCGGGGGAGCTGGTGCCTTGAGCTGGACCCTGGGCCTCGGGGCAGAGAAACCCGTGCAGAGACTTGCACAAGCCTCTGCCGCTTTAGCCTGGGGCTGAGAACAAAGGGCGCCTTGAGGCGGTGCCACCGGGTCCTACCAGGAAGGAGGAAATCCGACCCCCCTGGACACAGCATCTCCGCCCGCTCTGTGCTGACCCAGTTCTGAGACCAGCTGGGCTCCAGCCAGGTGCATGTCCCCCTCCCGCGCCCAGTCCGCCTGGCCAGGGAGAGGTGGCCAGCAGGTGGCCTGGGGCGGTCCGGCTGCAAGACCACCTGCCCCTACCCCTGGCCGCCCTTCCTGACCGTCCAGGGGGTCCAGCCCTGGAGAGGTCCAGGCTGGACAGACAAGCCTGGAGCAGGGAGCGGCCTTAGCACCGTCCAGGCCACACTCATTCTTCCCACAGGCCCGTCTGAGATGCCCCAGTGCCAGGAGCCGCGGGTCACAGGCTGTGCCCCAAAGGCCCGGGCAGAGGCCAGTCCAGTGACGGGGCTGTGACCAGTCCCTGCACCAAGGCCCGTGTCACTGCCTTCCCCCAGCGCCACCCCTGCCCGTCCACCTGTGAGGGGAAGCGGCCGGCCCACATGCTGCTCCAGAGGACCTGCCCCGCCAGGCCGAGCGGCTCTTCACAGAGTGACCGCACAGTGGCCTCTCCCTCACGTCCCCCCTGGGAAGCAGGTCGGCAAGAGCCAGCTATGAGAGGACGGCCGCCAAGATAGCTGGGGTCTTCTGCGGCCTCCTGCGCAGCTGAGGGGTCAGGCAGAAAGCACACGGGGGCTGCCGTCCAGATGCCGCCCCCAGAATAGAGGCCCCAGGCCTGGATGGGGAGTCCCATGGCTCTGGCCCACAGGCCCGAGCTGGGCCGCAGGAAGCCCCTTCGACTGACCCCGACGTGGTCCAGCTGGTCACACACACGCCAGCACACACCTGTGTCCATCCTTATTCGGGGCAGTGGAGAGGCCACTGAACATTGTCATTCTTCGATCACAGCTGCCCTAAGAGCACGGAGCACGTGAGCTGAAGGCCTTGGCGACCTGCGCTCCTGCGCTGGGGCGTCCGGTGACCCTGACCCACAGCTGGCCAGGCCACCTGCGTCGGCTTCCAGAACTAGAAGTGAGGTGACCCCCCCACCCCGCAGTTACATGGGCCAGACGAAAAGGCGAATCTTGACTGTTTCGTGGTGAATAATTAAACAGGACGGTTATATCCGCTGTCCAAGCGTCAACAGGCTGGGGAATCGTGAGAAAGCAGAAAATTCGAGCCAGCTCATGCCAAAAGACAGAAATGGGGTCCGGTGGGTGGGGACCCCACCAGCTGCATGCGAGAGAGGCTAGCGGGGCACCGGGCAGCACGCTGGGCTCAATGGGAAGAGAGAGGCTAGCAGCAGCCAGCGCCAAGAGGGGAGCACCCAAGCCGGGCTCCCCAGCTCAGGGGTCAAGGGCCATCTACAGCTCGGCTTTTCTGTTCCAGGCCCGAGCGTCCAGCCCGTGCTCCTGAAAGCACCAGCGGGCATGTCTCTAAGCTGTGCCCAAGACCAGCTTCAACCCCGCCCACCCCCGGGCCCAGGGTCCGTGTTTCAATGCCCTCGCCGTGTCCACTCAGCTGCCAGGACTCGGGAGGTGGCCTTGACCTCCCACCTTGACCACAGTTCTGGGGGTCAGCACCTGCCCCCAAGCCCGTTCCCGCAGCTTCTCCCGCCTCCGTCCCGCACCATCAGCACCCACCTCCCGGGCTGGCTCCTGGCCTCTGCTTTTTCACTTACTTGTTTATCTTCATTCGTGCCCTTGTTGCTGCAGCAGCTCCCGCTCTGTTTTTCCCTGTTTTTGTTTTTGTTTTTTTTTTTTTTTTCATTACTTCTTTTTATTGCAACGGAGCACCACGTTCCTGCGTGCGCCACTGAGCTGGCTTCTTTCTTGCCCCCACCCCGAGGTGGCCTCTCCACGTACCAGGTGAAACCCGCTCTAAAGCCAGTGGGGGGTCTTGGCAGGACATGGGGGAGCTGAGCTCAGGCAAGGAGGGTCTGCCCCCCTCTCCCCGCCTCCCCTCACCCGCGGCAGGGAACTGCCCTCCCAGGGCTTCTGCAGAAAGAAATCAAATTCCCTTTCCAGCTAAGCTGCAAGCGCAGGTTTGGCTTATCTCCCAAGAAGCCCAAACTCCAAACCAATCTTGTGAAATCGTTTCCCCACTTAAAATTCTTGAAAAGCGCTCACAGGCCACAGCCAGCCCCCACCCACACCCCGGACCCCCCGTGTCTCCCTCAGCGCCGTCAAGGCCACGCTGGGCTGTGCCCTTCGGGAGCCGGTGCTCCAGCGAAGCCGTGGATTTACGGTGTGAGGTCATGGGAGCGCGAATTGGGGCCTCGGGAATCAAGGGCCGTGACACTTTTACAGCCTCCCCCCGCCCCTCCTGCATGCCTGCGAAGCAGCTGCAGGACGAACATCTGGTTTTGCTTTTTTGATCCACACGCAGCTCCCAGCTGACAGCCCTCCGGCTGGCCGGGCTCCGGGAGCTGAGCGGGCAGGCAGGGGCTGGCCAGTGAGCGCCTGCCCTTCCTGCCTCAGTGCGGAGCCGAGGCCTCCAGGAACCCAAGGTCACTGCCACCGCAGAGATAAAGCACTGGCCAGCGTCACGGTGGCCGCCTGCCAACTGGCCAGAGGACAAGGGGGGTGGCTGGGGCACGAGGAGGGGCTCCCGTGGACCCGGCGGGGCCATCACAGCCATAACTCCGGGCCTTGGAGTGTCCACGGGCGACAGAGCAGCCCCCGCCAACCGCCGCCAGCACAGACACGTGCCACGAGCTGCCCAGCAGGGAGCAATCAGAGCAGCCCCTGCCTGGTCCCCACAGCCCGGCCACATAGCCTCCAGGCAGTCGCCGTAGGTCCCACAGGGCAGCGTCCACCTGTGGCCAGAAGGAGAGGCCTAGCAAGGCCCCGGAGCTCCAGCTATGGCCAGTGGGTCAGTCAGGCTGCCGGGCCTGTCTGTGACCTGGACCTCTCCCCAGGACCCCCGGGGAGGCTCACCCCCACAGACCGCGTGGCCGTGAAGGGTCCTCTCTACAGACACCTTTGAGGTACACCTCGCATCCTCCCTGGAGCCGGCCCCCAGCTGAGCGCTGCCCCCCACGAGCTGAACCCCAGGACGCTGCTACTGAGCACATCTCAGGGAGGAGGTAGAGTCACAGGAAGGGCTCTGAAGCGGGTAGGGGTGTTTGGAGAAACGCACTCACAAGTGGGGGTGCCTCGGGAAGCCTCCATCTCCTCATGTCTCTGTCCGTTGAATTGCATTACTCTTTCATCGAGGTGACACTGGCAGATGACATCATGTGATGAGGGGTGCAGAGGGGGCATGTGGGTAGGAACCCACACTGCAAAGGCCCGGCCTCCGCCACCTTCCCCCCACCCCGAGGCTACAAAGGTGGACTCACAGGGAAGCTCATTTCTTGGTTGGAACTGACACCTTCACACAGGAGCCAGTGCAAAGGCCGGCAGGGTGCGGGTCCCGGACTGGGGCAGGACAAACGCCAGAGCATCAGACAGGTGGACGCAACCTTCCTCTGGAAGGAGCAGGGAGCCGAGCATCAGGGGAGCTGGCCCAGCTCGGGCCCTGGGCACATGGGCACCTGCTCCAGGCCGCTGGGAGTGCAAGGCCCAGCCAGGCAGGAGCTCTGCAGGGAGAGTCAGGCCCCAAGGCCCCCTCGTGCCCCATCAAGCCAGCCACACCCCACTGCCGCCGAAGGGGCAGCAGCAAGGGAGGCCTCGCAGAAAGGGAAAGGCCAGAAGAGCAGATGCTCGGGCCTGGGGAAGCAGTGACTCCAGCCTCCACGGGCAGAGAAGGGAGGTGCGCAGGAGGCAGGGCACGCCCTGTGCCCCCAGCCGAGGACAGCAGTCGTGCATTGCAGGGAGGACGTTCCTGGCACCTTTGACTGTGGCCTGCGAGGCTGGGGTGCAGAGCAGGCGTCTCCTTCTCTTTGAGGGCCCCCCTCCCTGCCCGGCAGCTTCTCCACAGCCGGGAACTCACTCGGAGCCAGCGGGCACGAGCTGGGCTGCAGATAGCCCCGCAGAGCCCTCCTGGACAGTCAGGACCAGAGCCAGAGCTGCAGGCGGGCTCCGCGAATCGGGCCAGTGGGGTCTGAGGCGGGAGACAGGCACAGGGCCTCCACCCACAGTCACCCTCGTCCTCCTGGTTGGGGAGTTCCTGGCGCATCATCTCCCTGCTGCCGTGCTCCCACGAGCAGCCCTCCAGCCGCCTAAGCTTGTCAGCACCAGCAGTGCCTGGGTGGCGCCAGGAGGGAAATCAGCACAATTTTAATGCATCCAAGCTCAGGAAAGGGGGAGCAGGAGCGAGGTGTGGGGCGGTCAGCGGGCGGCGGGCCAGACATGGGCACTCGGGTAAGGGAGATGGGAACAATCCGTGACAGGGAATTCCCAGAACAGATTAAGCAACACCACACTATTTGGGATGTGGTTTTGTAACAGTGGGGACATGGGGACAGGCAGGCCCAGGAAGCAGGGCAGGGGGCGCTGGCCACTCCCAGCCCTCCATGAGATAAGAGCACTCCCTGCGGAGAGGCCCTCGGCTCCTGGGGCCTGCAGACGTGGGGCTGCTCCGTGCCTGGCACTGCAAGCAGGGGTCAGCTCTGCAAGGCCCATCACCCCACACTTCTCCCCTTGGGTGCCCCTAATGTCTGTTCCCAGCCAGGCTCAACTTGGCTACCCCTGGGAAAAATGGGTCAAGAAAGGAAGATAATAAGGGGCCTCCCTGGTGGCGCAGCGGATTGAGTGCTGCTCTGTGAAGCTGTCTGCAGCCTCTGCAGCACTTGTTCAATTCCTGGCCGGCCATGGAGATACCCACATGGTGTGGCAGACCTCTCCTGTCTCACCTGCTGCTCCCCTCAGCAGTGTCTTCAGTCAGTCTGCCTGCTCTGCTCCCCACTCTGTCTCTGCTGAATCCTCTCACCTTCCCATGCATCTGGCCTGTATCCCAGTTTTTGCATAAATAAATAAACCTTAAAAAAAAGAAATGAATGGGCCTCCCCGGTGGCGCAGCGGTTGAGCGCTGGGTTGCGAAGCTGCCCGCGGCCTCTGCGGCGCTGGTTCGATCCCCGGCTGCTCCCCGGCCACCGGAGGAGGGTCCCACTTGGCGCGCAGACCTCTCCTGCCGCCCGCTGCTCCCCTCAGCAGTGTACTTTGGTCCTTCTGCCTGCTCTGCTCCCCGCTCTGGCTCTGGTGAATTCTCTCACCCTCCCGCGCTTCTGACTGTACCCAGTGCATGTATAAAAAAACAAACAAATAAACAAATAAATAAAACATGCCTCTATTAAAAAAAAAAAGACTTAAAAAAAAAAAGAAATGAAGATAATAAATATATATGTGCTCATATACACATGCACACACAGAACTTGCTGGCCCCAAACTGCCCAGCACGTTGGCCATGGCAGGTGCATGGGCTCAGGAGGAACGTGGGCAGCAAAGTCAGGGCTTGTGGCAGGGACAATGCAGGCAGGGCTTTGAGGCCGTGGACAGCAGGAAGCCCAAAGACGGAGACCCCCAGGGATGTGAATCCCAGCCTGGGCCAAGGCCAGGCAGGATGTCCTCCTCATAGGCCAGCGACCCATGATGAACCAGAACATGGAAAGTCCTTCCCAGACTATGGACAGCTACAGAGTAGCCCCGTCTGCCTTGGTGTTCCTCGGGTGGTAGCAGCTCTGCCTGGCCCTGGAGTAGGGCTGGGAGACAGGCCTATGTTCCCTTCCCCGGCATGTGTCCTATGGCCTTCCCCCACATGTGTCCTATGGCCTTCCCCAACATGTGTCCTGTGGCCAGCAGGGGCTCAACTCTACTTCTGGCTTCACAGTGAGGGCTGTTTCTTTGTCCCAGTCCCCCCAGTGGTTATAAAAGCTGGCCCTGAGCCCACAGAAGACCCCACACAGATGACCTGCAGGCAGGTCTGTCCAGGAGGGACATCTCTCCACCACACTGTTTGCCCTCCCATCATAGAAGGAAGCCCCAGTTACCCCCAAAGCACCAGGGGGAACAGCCTGAAACAGCCAGGAGGCCTGGGAAGTGCTCCTGCACTTCCTGTGCACACACCCCTGTGGCATAGGGGAAACTGAGGCCCAGGGAGGAGCAGTGGCCACAGGCAGGACCAGGTCTCAGCACCCACTCATGCTCATTCACTTACCTCCCCACTGTCCCTGATGTCCATGGCCCCTGACATCCATGGTAACGCTTTCACGGGGTGGGCACATGGGCCTAGGAAGAGGTACCCGGTCACACAGTAGGACAAGGCCCTGAGCACGCAGCTGAGAGCTTGCCACTGGAAGCTTCCAGGAGGAATCACATGTTCAGAGAGCTATTATACATGTCAGAAGAAAATCAGGGCTGTGTCCTGAGGGGCTTCCTGAGTCCAGGCCAGCACCACCTCCCTGGGCTCTGCAGAAAGCTGGGGTGAGGAGGAGGGGGCTTTTGTGCCCCTTGCTCTCTATCCTCCTATCAGGCCGCCAGGCAACAGGGAGATATGGTCAGCTGCTAGGAACAAGGTTTCAGGAACTGTTGAGGTGGCCCAAGACCTGTAGAGTCCAAGCAGGCTCTCAGCTGGGATATGTGCCACGTCTTGCCCCACTGAACAAATGAGTGCACACACACACATGTGCACCTGTGTACATGTGCACACACATGAAACGCAGACAAGTGCACATGCACACCGGTGTGCTACATACATTACATGCACGCATTTGCACATACACGTGTGCACACACATGTGCACACAACCAGGGCTAATTTATCTGATGCAGGGTGCAGGGATGGTGAGGACATACCCCTTTTGAGCCACAATGAAGATGTGGGAGGCGGAGTGGTTGAGATTGTGGTAAAGAGGTGATCACTTAAAACACTGGGGTTCAGATGGACATTCCATTCCCAGGAAGGAACTGGAATGCCCAGAATGGACTCAGCAACCTCCTGTCTGTGAGTGATCGATTATAGGTGGGACTTAGAATTCGGGACTCCAGGAGCTTAGGA